AGATGGAAACTAATCAAGAAGAAAACCAGCCTAGAACTAAAGACTTGTGAAAGCAACTAACCAGTGAAAAGGCTTGCCTTAAGAAGTTGTAGATGCTCCATCACTGGAGGCTTTTAGTAGATTGGATATTCCATTGTCTGAAATGGTATATGTCCTCTGCTTGAGCAGGAGCTTGGACTAAAGACCTCAAAGGTCTCTTCCAACTCTTATTCTTTGAGAGAAGTGCTGCCAACCTCTCCCCCCCCTCTCGTCCCTTCCTGGGCAGAGGAGGGAAGGAGAGGAGGGAAACAGGAAAAAAGTAAGGGACGGAAGATGGGAATAAAAAGGAGGGAGACAGGGAAGGGGAGGAAGGAAAGAGAAGGAAAGGAAGAAAGAGAAAGGAGAGAAGGGAGGGTGGGTCTGAGGGAAGTCCTGCTTTAGCACTTGGCCACCAGCAGCCTTGTTGCCCTTTTGCATCCCCTGGTGGTCTCCCATCCTATTGCTGAGGATGCTTTGGTTACAAAGCCAGGTTTCCTTGCATGGAGAGGGAGTGGGCCTCCCTCTGACCCACACACTTTGTCCTCCTGCACCCACGAGCAACCTGCCAAGGAGACTGAGCATAGCAGCAGAAGTGTGGCTAGGCTAGGCAGGGCTGTGGGGTTCTGATACCGTGGGAGCAAAAGGGCCGGGCTGGGCACTTGACCTCTGCTGCCCAGGGCTCTGGGCAGTCCATGCCACTGTCCAGGGGCCCCGTGCATAGCCTGAGGCTCCTCCAGTGGACCAGGCCCTGGTGCTCACCCCATCCCACCCACCACCCTTGGATGCGCCTCATTCCTGCACAGGGCCCCACAGGTGCCCCTAACATGAGTGACATGGAGCTGGCCACGGCCAGCCAGTAGGCCACACCCATGCCAGCCATACCCACCCGGCCCCCAACGGCAACCACGATGCTGATGCGGCCCTCAATGAAATTGAGTTTGACACCCCTATTTTGATTCAACCTCTTTATTCCAATTTCACCTCAATGACCACACAAAGCAACATAAATGTAAAATCTCTGGATGACATTTTATTGTGATACAAATTTAAAATCAAAAGGATCAGCGATAACGATGAAGCTGCAAAGTGTTATGCTGTCTCCATGAAAAGAATCAGCGATAACGATGAAGCTGCAAAGTATTATGTCGTCTCCATGCAGCACGACGTGATCCACCAATTGTGTGATGGAACTTGTGGCCCTTGCCAAGGCCACGGCTCTTCCTGCCAGCAGAGGTCAGCCCACGCATCTCTCTATGTTTGTGAACTGGTTTGGTGATCCATTGCGTATCTGGATTGCGCCTGATAGCTTTGTGGAAAGGATCAATCAGAATGACCTCAAAGAACTTGTATGTGGAATCCTCACCCACCCAGTAAGAATTCAGCACTCTTAAGGCTCCACAGTGTCGGCCAGCACGCTCCTAGAAAATAAAAGTTTAAATATATGTATCTGTAACTATATATAGCATACAGTGAAATCAGATTGAGAAACTTGATGTAAAAGAAATAGTATATAAAGACTAAAGTACTTATAGGTAATTTAATATTTCCTTTCTTTACATTAAGCATTTCATTTTCTTCAGTGGCCATCTTTCATGTTTTCCCGACTCTAAATATTTTGATTCCACAAGTGCTATGCTTTGAACAGTTGCTTTACTCAGATATTAGTAATAACTATTCTCACTAGTAAACTATCATTCCCAAACAACACTGCTCAAATGTCAGCCTCCTGCAAACATTCATTTGCTCAATGTGGTTTTCTGTATAATTCAAAACATATTGGTTTGCCCACAAGCCAGAACTCTGCATTAAGGGGAGAGTTCTCATGTGAGCTCTGATAACATAGCATTTGAATTAACTGTCTCCTGAAAAAATAAGGAATACAGATAATCCTTAAAATCGAATTCAACCCACCAAGAATAATTGACTTAATTAAATACATGTCCAATCTTAGTTCCAATTTATTTCTGTACTGCTATATACACTCAGTTGTATTTACACAGAAGCAATGCCTTCATGTAAATGATTATACATAGTTATTTATCACAATGTTGTTTATAGACATTCTATCTAGTATTGGAAACACTACACCATCACTATTACTCACTTAGGAATATTTTCATTACTTGAACTTAGTTGTTTAATACATGCTAGATTACATTACATTGTAATATTAATATAGCATAATTTATTATATATTATGCCATAGATCATAGACTTCTAAAATGTCACATGGTTCTTCTTCAGATTTACTTACTTCTGCTACAGACTGCAGACTCCGGGCAAATTTCAACTGGTTCACACCATGATGCACAGGCTTTCCATAAGTAGCACCCTTAGGAACTGGACGTTTACGACCACCACGACGAACTCTGATGCGATAGATAACATAACCTACAACAGAAACAAATAACATTTTAAAAATCTTAAACTTTTGTCCAAGCTACCTGGCTATTCTGAATTTTTGATCCACGTATGTCCATTTTATTAATCTGAGATGATTTACAGCAACAACAAAAAAGACAGAAATTAGATTCACATAATATAGACAAAAGAAAATCTTAAAATTTGCTGCCTTTCCATCAATTTGACTTTTCAGATGTTTCCTGCAGTTTATCCTCTTTGGATGTATAACTAGGTGCCAGTTAATTTATAATAATAATCCCTGTAGTGAGCATTGTATCAGATCGGGGGTTTTCTCCATATATGTAATAAGCATGCAATAAAACATATAGAGCAAGAAAACTTTTTAAATGTTCCCATTACCTTGCTTAGCTTTATATCCCAGCCTGCGGGCTTTGTCTGGTCTGGTTGGTCGAGGAGCTCGATGAAGTGCCGATAACTGGCGATATTGCCAGCAACGGACACGCAGGAGGAAACGCATTACATCAGACTGCTTCTTCCTCCATAGTTCTTGGATATACTTGTAGGCACCCATTATGACTTACCTACTAAAGAAAATGCAGAATTATGTTACATCACATTTCTTTAATATCAGGCATATACTAAAAGGGACTCTTTTAAAAGAATAATGCTCTCAAGTATCTAAAAGTAAACTCCATAAAACTGACTAGTAAGTAAATCCATAAAAATATGCCATTATTCTTTGGGTGCCATGTTTCTTTTTTCTGCTAATGTGCTGGTAAGAAGGCACATACTCATAAAAGCAATTTTAACTTCAGTCCTACAGATAAATATGTCAAAGAAAAAAACATGTTTTGCATGTCATAACTTTTGCCTTCTTCCATCAGCTTCTGAAGCTAATGTCCATGATACAATTTCAATCTATTACTGCTTACTATATATACCATACACACAAAACCACACATGAATCTATATGTATCATATACACAAATGTTTTTTATCAATATAAGGTAGCATTTTTTCTCAAATTTTCTAGGTTTTAGCTTTATTCAAAAACATAGGTTGCTGCTTTGTACCAATTGCTTGGATAATCTTTTCTGACAGAAACTACCTAAAGATTGCAAGCAGGAATATTTTACATCATTTACCGGTACTACCTAAACAGAAAGCCTTAAAACAAGTCTGCCAATTTGGGAGTTATTTCTTAATTTTCTATTTCAATTCTATTTTTTATTCTCATTAACGCTCACAGCAGTCCCCTCCTCTTGACTATCAGTCAGATTTGAATAGAAAACCACTGAAACTCAGGTTTCATGCAGGGAGCTTAATGGTTAAGGCACCAGCCTAGAAAGCAGGAACCTTCAGCCATTAAAGCCAGCTGGGTGACTTTGGGCCAATCACTCTATTAGCCCAATCCACCTCACAGGGTTATTGTCGGGACACGATAAGAGGAAGAGGTGTGCGTGTGTAAACAAATTAATAAGTCTGCTCTACTACTTACGAGTCCCTTCCTCCTCTTCCCCTTCCCCCATAGGATTGCACTGAGCAAAGACCGCATGATCCGTCATCGCTCGATTTTCACCATAATTCTGAGCTGTAAGAAAAGCCCCGATGCCAGAGGAGCCCAGCATTTCAAATATTTATGTTCGTTTCCATTCTCATCCTTCATCTTTGTTCACTTGACCATGTCGTCCGGTAGCATAGGGCCCAAGACGCCATCCTGCCAACCAGACCCTAAACCCTTCTTTTTCTTCCACAGCTACCCAAACATAATCATCCTCCCTCCCCAAGCCTCGATCCATAAGAATATGGAGCAAATGGGTGCAAAGAGCCTCCAGATTGCAGGATGGTAATGGATACACCGTCCGCAGAAAGAACACAAGCAACCTTACCAGAAAGCTCTCGAAACCGGAAAGGAAGAGGCCTCTCTCCCAAAATGCTTTGCAACAGAGGCGGGCAGGAAAAATTCAGCGGTCAGATGCTTGCTGGGAAATGTAGTTCATGGGGAACACATGTTATTAGAGCGTGGACTTTCACGCTATGGGATGAAATTGATCACTGTGACTTTTGGCTGGCTGCTCTCTACAAGTTATGTTGATTTAAAGGCATCTAGATGTGGAAATTATTCTAGAAAAGATTCTCCTTAATCACACTTTGGGACTATTAATGATAGAATGCTTTAGAAATACACTTTCGTCATGATGGTTTACTTCATACGATCTATGAAATGGATGGGAAGATCATGGCTGAGTTCTTGTTTTAAATTAAATTCCAATTTTATTCCAGAATTCATGGTGTTAAAGTCAAATACAGAATAATTCGTATTTAAAATCCATTTATTTGTTGCTCTTTAGAAAAAAATAACTCTTCCAGTTTCATTAACTTGGTGCAAAGGAGCTTATATTTTGTAAATGGAAAAAATAGTTCTAGAAACCTTTTGCTCGTTCCTCCAGAAATCTTAAGTTCTTAGGAGAGTTGTCCTGTAATTTTAAAAGGGATCGACTCTCAACTTCAGTTATATAGAGCAATAGCATACTTTTATCTTTAAACTATGAAATGACAAAAATAACTTCTATTCTGGTTGGTCTATAGGTTCTGGATTGCTAATAATCTGAAAGAAGATGGGAAAGGGTTTCAAAGTGTTGGTTTGTGGAATGTGTTCAGTGGGAAAGACGGCCATCTTGGAACAAGTTCTGTATGGTAATCACACTATTGGTAAGATATGCCTATTTTTTATTGTCTAATGTAACTACCACTTTAATAATTAATAAATATATGTAAAATGATCCATATAACATATTTGCACTAATCAATATAGGTTAATTACATTTTTCACAAAAGGCAAACTAAGAAGATCTAAAGAATTAGATATCCCTTGTAGGCATTTTCCTGAACAAAGGTAGCTTGTGGAAAACATAAATGTTCGAATTTTTTTCCTCCCAAGAAATGGTTGCTCTTTATTTCAAACAAAACTAGGCGAAGAGTACAGCAGAACTATGGGAGATGTATATGTCGCTGTGGTTGAAACAGATCGAGGACTAAAAGAACAATTACGTTTGTATGACACCCAAGGACTGCAAGGAGAAGATGATTTCCCAAAACATTATTATTGTATGGCAGATGGCTTTGTTCTAGTGTATGCTGTAAATAGTCTGGAATCTTTTGAGAAAGTTAACTGGCTCAAAAAGGAGATTGACAAGTTTAGAGAAAAGAAAGAGGTAAAAGACTGTTCCTTTTATTTTTTAAGTCTATTTGCAGTATTATTAGTATTTGTTCCGTAAAGCTATATGAGCTTATTATTTAAACTGTTTTCCAGACTGCTTATTAGTCATCATGCTATTTTGAATGTGTCAAAGATTATGGGTTGAAGGTCAAAGAAAGGGAAGCACCTCCACTTCTCACTATCAAGAGTTGCTTGGCCTGTATGACATACAGTATTGTCTGTGTAGACTCCTTCTTACTTAACAGGTTTTCTTTTCCTTTCTCTTCTTTCCTGACTCTTCTGCCTCTCAATCTCTTTCGAAGAGTCTCCCTCAGAAGAAATAGATTGGATAACCATGGTACTACTATTGGAAATGGATAGGTGACTTAGTCCTACTGCTTGTCATAAGAGGCAATTTAATTTAGACAAAATCCAGTCATAATTTGGAGTATTTCTATGTGAATCTTTAAGGTAAAAGTCCCCTAAGTATTAGCTACTAGGATTCTCTATTTTGCCTCACTAAATGATTTCACACACACAAGGCACTTACTTTTAATAAATTGTAGATATTGAGCTCCGAGTGAGATTAAATGTTTTGACAAAATACATACAGGCAGAGAACCTCATCTGGGACCATCTAAAACAAGTTTTCAGGTGGGTACAGTACATAGCATTAGGTGTTGCAAAGGAAATATTTGTGTAATATTTTAGCTTGCTGATTTCATGAGCTGAATGTAGCATTATAATAGTAAGTTATTTAAAAAGTATACAGTAGTCCTCAACTTACAACTATTTGTTTAGTGACTGTTAAAAGTTTGAGTGACACCGAAAAATATGCTTATGACATTCTTCATTTATGACCATTGCAGCCTCCCTATTTGGATGCTTGGCAACTGATTCATATTTATGATGCAGTGTGTAACCTCCTCACAAGCAAAATTAATGGGAAAGCCAAATTTACTTAACCATGCAAGTAAATTAACAGCTACAGTGATTCACTTAACAACTGTGGCAAGAAAGGTCATAAAATGGGGCAACATTCACTTAGCAACAGAAATTGTGGTTGTTAAGTAGAGGACTATCTGTATGACTTTAATTATGTCTTGAGATTCTAAAAAGACAGTAGATTTTTAGTGTTCTGTAATTGGGATCAGTTAATTTCTGTTTCTGTTTAACATCAAATCTATAGCTAAGGTAACTTGAGAGCTAGTCAGCACATTCTGTAATTTGTAAGATCCACCTCTGTCAAGAAAGGTAAAAACTGCCTAATCTAATTTTCCTTTTATACAGTAGTCCTAAATAAGAAGTTACTGCTGCTGTTGTTTCTCCTTCTCACTCAGTCTGTTCCAAGACTCTGATATTTTCCCAGGCAATTGTTTTTTTAAAATATGTTTTATTGATTTTTTACATAATCTCCTTAATATTTGGTAAACAGCGTATTGTCTGGGTTAGTATTTAAAAAACAATAACAATTAATTTCTATAATTCTATAGTCCATATAATGGTTTTGCATGATTTTCTCTTCTTCCAATAATATTCCCTTTTGCCAACCTTAAATTAATACAGTTCTTATTTTTTGAATAAATGACAATTAAATATAAATATTTTTCTCATGTTTCTGCAAATAACCACATCAATATAAAGCTTCTTTTGTAATTGCCTCATCAGAGATCCTATTTACAGAATTCTTATTTAAATTTGTTTAAATTTATTACAGCTGCTCCACCTAACAATGGAATAAGTTCTTTGACCATAGTGAGTTTTAACCCCTGCTTTATTATTTTCATAAATAATTCAAGGTTACCTAATATTCCTGAGAGAGAGTGCCTCGCTCAAAGTCACTCAGCCAGCTTTCATGCCTAGAACTCAAAATAGTTTCTAGTCTGATGCTGCAATCACTAGATCAAACTAGTCTTTTTCTCTGCTGTTAACATATTTCTAAAAGCAACCAAAATACAGCCGTGTTTAAATATTAGTAGCTAATGTTCTATAAAAGTAGAACTTTAGAATCATACTCTAAAATAGAACTGAATATATAAAATCCATTCACTCACCTACCTGTGTGCTGGATTTGGAACTGTGTGTTTAACTAACCCTCTACTGATATATAGCATCTTTCCTTTGGAAGGGAGAAAAAGAAATAGTATTCATGACTAAGGTATTTATCTGACAATAACTAATTGTTGTTGCAAGTGCTTGTGGTTTTTATCAAATGATGGCTTATATAACAAAAGTATTTGTTTGCATAGTCGTTATTCTGAAGAATAGCAGTTAGGTCTACTTCTGTTGAATCAGGTGGAGGAACTTATGGTTAGATTTCCTAGCATCTTTTCTCATTGGCAATACTGGATATTGCAATTCAGCATATCTCAAGAACTGTAAGTTCCATATCCCTCTGCAGGATCTAGATATAATCATGGTTAAAATAAATATATTAAAATTAATGATACCAAGTTATTCATTTGAAACCTCTTGATTCTCCAGCACTTGGAGATGGAGAATCCACCAATGGGTAGTAGACTGTATTCCTGCCCAATCAGATCAAGTCAGCCAAAGTTTCCACGCCCGTCCTGGGCCATAGATACCCAGTCTTTGACTTGATCTTGCCCAGGACAGACGTTGCAAGTTTGGCTCTAGGCAGGTATACTTAGTCATTGGTGGATTTTCCAGTTCCTTTCCCACACAATTTGGGCTTTCCTACATAATTTTTTCCTTTCTCTCCCCTATCTCTCAGAGGTTTTAATCTGGGGATTTTTTTCCTATCGAGGAAGGGGCTCCTTCCTTATCTTTCCTCCCTCACCCCTCCAAAATTCCCTAATCAAGCATTTCTGACAGGAGGCTAACGGCCGTTAGCCTCAAGTTTCACTCCAATTGATCTCCTTCGCAAAGGGGTTTGCTACTACAGTCAAACAGACGGGCTCTAAAAATCCCTGGTAGGAGACCAACGGCTGTTGGTCTCCGAATACCCCAGGCCTGACGGAACTTGCGGCTGAAGCTCCGTTAGCTAATCGCTCGTGGGGGGAAGGCACTTCCCGGAGATAGTGCTGTCTGGGGATTTTCTTTTCACCTTGACAGGCTGCCTTCGGTTCTCGGAGCTGCCGCTGTAGCTCCGGTGACCTAATTAGTCAATTGCCTTCCCTTCAGACGGGGATAACTGGAGGTGCGCGTGCACGCGCGTGAAGCCAGCACCGATCGGCTGTCAGGGCTGATTGGCGGATCAAAAAAAGGCAGCGCGGAGGCTCCGTTGGAGGAGGAAAGCTCACTTGTTTGCCTCTCAGCTCCGGCTGCAACCGTTAGGGATTCGACACGCGGCCGCCATTTTGAGCCACGCAACTATTCTCTACTGAGATTTTCCTCAGGACGGCTTCTCTTCTCGGAGCCGGCCCTCACGCGCAACCGCCATTTTGGGACCGCGCGTTCCGGCAGGGCCTCAGATTATTGTAATTGAGTTTGTTTGAAAATTTCAGCCAAATTCATTTGGGACTCCCTCCTTGCGGCTACATAACCTCTACTACTATTACTGGGGAGGTTAAACATACTCATAACATAGGGACAGGCCGCCATTTTCTGAGAGGCCGCCATTTTGTAGGCTGACTCTGCACTCAGATTCAAGGCCAGACAGTTTCCCTGGGAGACTTTGGGTTTCCCCTTTTTTGGATTTGGACTGGTAACTTAAAATTCAGGCACCTCTTGATGCTTGCCTTTTTTTCAGATTTGGTGTCTCCTTAATTCGGTTTTCCTATAAATTGGCACTATACTGGGATTCCAGGCACCCCCCACAGAGTGCCTGTCCTCATCCACAGTACTTAAGTATGGATTCCAGGTGACCCTGCAGAGCGTCTGTCCTTATTTGTATGTTAACATCAACCCTTGGATTCCAGGTGCCCCAATAGTGTACCTGTCCTTATCCAACCGGGAATTGTACCTGGGTTCCAGGCGTCCCCTGTAGTCCATCTGTCCTTACCCAGAGTCTGACATTCTCCAGATAACAGGGGCCCCCTATTGTGTTCCAGTGCTATCGGAGAATGGAGGAAGCTGTTCCTTCCTCAATGAGTGCCTTGCCATCCTCATCGGGTCCACCCGGTCCGGAAGGCAATGGTAGAACGACCCATAAGGTCAGATCTACTACCAAATCTTCCAAACACACTGATAAACAGGCTACCAGGAGACACCAAGCCTTGGAAAAAGAGTTCTCCAAAGCGCAGAAGAGAGCCAGGTTGGAGACACCTCAGTCCGCGGGGTTAGCCCTTGACTTACTCCTCGGGGTGCCAACCTCTCCTAGGGGTGTCTGGTCGGGGAGGATTCTCTCCATTCCCCCGCGCAGTGCAGAATAGAATTTCCTTCAGCTCCCCAGCCCTCTACGTTGAGGGTGGATCAGGGTGCCCCTGAGGCCACATTCACCCCTACCGCGGCGGGGCTCCGCCCTTCAGAGCCGACTCTCCTCCCTACGGAGGACCGCCTGGCGTTATTAATCAAACGAGCGGTAGACCGCGCTCTTGACGCCAGGGCTAGGACCTCTAGACCAGTAACATCCATTCCCATTCCTATCTCCCAACCGGAGGCTGCGGCTTATTATAACCCATCTTCTCCATCTGGGTCCTCTGTTTCTGAGGATTCATACCTCAACCAACCCGCGTCAGGACAGGAGGTCCAGATGTCGGAGGAGGAGGATGTCCCTCCGGAAGCCCCCTCATTCACTGGCCTATTTAACCCTTCTTTCTTTATCACCTTACTGCGTAAGGCCACGTCCACGGCTCATCTGGGACAGGGATCTTCATCAGCAGATACTCCCGTTCCACCCGATGCAGAGGCGGACCCAAATTTCGTAGAACCTGTTGCGACTCAACACCGTATCCCCTGTCCTTCCCTGTTCCTGACTGCAATCAAGAAGCAGTGGTCCTCCCTGGCTTCTCTTCCCCTACCAGGTACCACTGATAAGAGGCTGTATAATGTTGCCAAGAAGCTGGAGGAGGTTCTGGAGATTCCGGATGTGGACGAACCATTCGGTTCCCTGGT